ATAAGTAGTGGATGAACTTGCAAAAACACATAGTACTGATGTTGTGCGTCTTCCTCCCTATCACTGCAAACTAAATCCTATTGAACTGATATGGGCACAAGTTAAAGGATATGTAAGTCGACATAATACGACATTAATGTAGAAGCATTGTTAGAAACCTCCATATCACTTGTTACGAAGGAAAATTGGCAAAAGGCAATCGAGCATGTGTTAAAAGAAGAAAACATGTGAAATCTTGGATGTCAATTTACAGTGCCACTATTAATATCAGTAAATAATGACCAAGGAATTTAGTGATTCAGAGACTTTCGCGTTCCTGATCTTGAAAAGTAGGTAAGCACATCTATTTTATATCTAAATGTTATAATCAATAGCACCCCGGCGGTTAAATTACAAGTTTAAAATAGTAACAAAAAAAATGCAATACAAACAAATACCCCCTAATTTACCAAACCGTGCGCTCATCAGAGTCTTAAAAAGGATTAAAATAAGGGTAGCCTATTGTTTATTTTCCACAGAACCGGGCGGCACAGGTAAAATTTTTAATGAAACCAAACTTTTTAACTACTGGCTCTTTAAAATCAGATTTTGTTTAAGCCACCTGTACTCTAAAACTACCATAACATTTTGATTTATTACACCGTGTCGATTGCGATTCTACTATATTGTGACGATAGTCTAATTTATTTATAATTTATTTATTTAAAATACACTATTTACAATTTATTTATGACGTACTATTTAATTTATATAATACTTAGACACTAACTAACAATTCTAATTTATTTATTACACTTTAACTTTTCATTACAATGCTCTATACTAAACTAAACTTCCGTCTTCGTACTTGCGATATTTATATCAAGCCAACTCTGTAACCAGAATACTCTAGACCAGCCATACTCAACCTTTTTTTTTCTTCGGGCCACATTCCTATATTTGCTATGTTACACGAGCCACAATATTTTTGAATAACATATCCCGTCGGATTTCTGCAAAAACAAGATAGCTCACATTTTTTTAGTTTCGAGAAAATGCTGTTTAAAAGGTTAAAATTTAATACAAAAATCAGTTAACTCCAATGAAAAAAAAAAAAGTATTCAAAACATAATTAATCTTCACAAAGTATAAACTAAGACCAAACAATTCACTTAGCTTATTTTAGATGTCTACATACAGAGTCATAATATTGTATGTATTGGTGTCGCTATCTTCAGTGGAAGATTCAGATACCGTGTCTTTAACATTATTGGATACAGGTAGATTATGATAACGGTGAAATTCATCAGGTGTAGCACCTAATTTGCAAAGTTTTAGTTTTAATCTTCTTGCACTATTTGTAAGTATTTTCAGAGCTTTTTTTCACCCTTTCAGGCATCCCTCTATTGGTTTTTGAAGGTTGGCTGTTTCGCGTAAAAAAGGGTGACGTAATCACCTTGTAGATTTCGAAACAATCGTGAAAGGCCAGAGACGGCTCTAAGCAAAAGAAGACAAATGACTTGAGCAAAATGTTGAAGTATTTCAACAAACACATTCATCAAAAATAGGTATTCTGGCCTTTATCTTGTTTTGGCAAAAATATATAATATCAGGAATCAGATTAAATACATTTAGCAAAATAAGTCTTTTATGTGGGCAAACTATTAGCAATTGAAGACAATGTTATGAATATGTTTCGGTATAAATGTTACTCATGTTGTTTGTGCGTATTTTGAATGTATTAATTTGGAGTTAGTTTTTATTGGTCATCTGTTTATCATAAATAATATGGACTTCGTTTCACTTATCTTGTTTATGCCGTATATTATTTGAACTATTTTGGAGTGTATTTACTCGAAAAGTGGAGTATTTTTGCAGTATCCCCACGAATTACAAACGTTTATTTAAAAATAAGCGTGATATTTAGCGCAGTGACCGAATGTTTTCGCGCATTTCGCTTAGATTTTAAAAGGCACCTTCTTATTAGTGTTTCAGGCCGCAAAAAAAGCTTGGAGGGCCGCATACGGCCCGCAGGTTGAGTATGGCTGCTCTAGACCAGTTTCTCAAACTTTTTTGGCGACGGAACCCTTTTAAAAAGCGAAATATGTGACGGAACCCTAAAATAGATTTTTTGGTTTAGAACCCCGGAACATTTATAAAAAAAGTTCCTCAAGCAAAATCAGATCCTTTCTTAGTGAAATCTAAAAAAAAATGTCTTAAACCAGGTGTCTTCCCTTTTGTGACGAACTTCCTCATAGTACGCCTCTAGTATTTTTTTTTTATTTTGACTATTTTCGCGGAGCGTCTGATTGTCTCTATATTGCCAGCGCGCCGCTAGACTCCTTACCGCGGGAGTAAACAACAGACAGGGTAGGCTTTCGCGCGACAATATAATTTAAGCACAAGCACTACATGTTTCGGATTTTTTTCCTTTTGGTGCAGTCAAAATTTAATAAAACATAGTAGACGATTACAGTTTAAAATTTTTAAAATAGCAGAAATCCCATATTTCTGTTTCACAGCAAGAAGGTGCATTCGAAATAATAATTTGGTTTAACACGATAAATTAGAGAAACATATGTAGTGCTTGTGCTTAAATTATAGAAAATAAAACAATATGACTGAATAAACCAAGGAAATTTTTATTTAGGGTCATGGCACTACTTATGGCCACCTTAAGGCAAAAATGCTTTTGTGGGGTCTGTTTTTCAATAATATTGTAACAGAAAAAATAAATAGAAATACTATTTGATAGGTTGAAGTATAAAGTTTTCAATAGTATATGCATCTACTTTGTTAAAAGCATGTAATTCTTTTTTACATTTTTTTTTTTTTATAAAAGTGAAAGAAATTCTTTACTTTTGGCCATCAGTCCGCCACTAGTTCTCTACTTATGGCCACTAATTTTTAAGTTGCATTTTTAAATATTAATTTAAGTGCATGTTTATTTACATATATGTACCAGTGATTGAGAATAGGTAGGGTATAACAAATTAAAATTTTTGCTAAAATATGAAATTAATTTTTCATGAACATTTGGGAAGGCGGGACCAACGACACCACTTTTAGAACGATAGTATTTGCTGCCTGCCACTTGAAGTCGGTATCGGTCTCGCCTTCCCAAATGGTACCTTAACACTTCCTAAAAATGTTATAACCAATTTTTAACCTTGTTCTACTAGAGAATGCTCGGTTAATAGTCCTAACAGTGGAAATCTCATTTTCAATATATATTCAAACGTAGTTTTTTCTTTGTGCTTTTTAAGCACTAGATTCTCCATAGTTTGGCGTGCAACATATTTATACACGGCCGATCTTCTTTTGCCACAGGCACTAAATTGTATCAATATATAAATTCGCCCGGTTTCAATGTTTGCCTAACTGCATAATCACTGCTGGTTCTATATCTGAGAAACTACCACTGCTGTCAGATGCTGTCATCTTCTTAGCTAAAAAAACCAACACAACCCATACAATAACTCACTAATTCTTAATTTCTTGTCATTACTAGTGGCCACACTGATATTTATTTTTATTTAAAAAAAAAATATAAAAACAAAATACATTGGGTATTAACATCTACTTACCTTTGAAATGGTAAGTTTTCAAAAATATCTAATAAATCTAAGTTTTGTTCCAATGTTTACAGGTAAATTCTTAAGCAAAACAGCAAGTAATGATTGCATGTATTACACATACTAACTATTTATTTTACTGATTTTCAATGGACTTGGTTTATTAGTTACAAACCTGCCCAATCAAGTAACCACATTCTCATTTACCTTCTCCAACCACCATTTTTGTTTACAATGTTGCTAAACGTTTATTTTTAGGTCTTAAAGCAAGAAGTGGCCATAAGCAGGGTAGTGGCCATAAGTAGTGCAATGACCCTATATTAAAAAGTAATGTTTTTACTTTACTCAGATAAATTGGTCATATCTAAAAGATAATATTGCATTAAATTCCTTAACTTAACGGACAAATTAACACGATAACGTCAAAAGGTACCAATCCCCATTCGCGATTCAGATTAATTATTCAGATTAATTATTTGTCCCCTATAAGTAGGAGATTTGTTTATTTACACTGTGTAAGTTTATGGCGGGCTTTTGTGTACGTGATTTTTTATCTGTTTTCAGATGTATTATATCATTATAATGAATTCAACAAGATTAAAACACTTCATATAAACAACTTACCAACAAATGAACAAAAATATTCATTTACGAAATGTAAGAACACACTCGCTTAAGATAAAAGGTTATTTTCGATTTTTAGAATAGAAATCCACCGTGTTCGCTTATGGACCCTTTCATAATTGCCTATTTTATTTTTAATAAGCACTTTATGGTTACTCTTCTTTGGAAAATGATGAAATATACCTAATTAACGTCTCTGTTTTGATATAAAAGTATAATCTTCATTACAGCAATTTACAATTTGGAGGCATTTTCGCAAATTTTAGTTTTGATAATAAACTATTATCACAATTATCAAACACTATGAGAAATAAACAAATTTAACGCTCATAAACAAGAAAATTTTGAATTCATAAAAATTACTATCGGTGACAACAGACAAGGCCAACGTTGTCAACTGATGAACTGATTTTAAAACAAAATTGATAAATGAATTGAAATTTGAAAAATAAATATAATTAAATCGGTTTTATAAAAATTCTTAAATAAAAATAGAGTATGATTACATATTGGTAGACACAAATTTAGCGACTTAAAGAAGTCTTTCCACTTACTTCTTCAATGGTAAAAAAATCCGCTGCCGTAGCGAAATTTTGCTAATGCTGGCAACACTGATTCTACTTATAGACACCTTTTACAAATTTCCTACAGAGGGCGTATCTCTTAACTTAAATCGCGGATAGATTATTTCTTTTGAAAAGGCAGAATTTTCATTGTGTCAGACAGTAAGTCTCTGGTAGTATATCATTTAGTTAGTTTTCTGGAACTTTATCTGAAGTTGAAAAGACCGACCCTTAAATAAATATATCTAATTAAACTTACCAGTTTTAATTTTCCAAGAACTCTTTTGGGGATCAATCTCTTTTAATAAATTTTTGATTTGCCATGTGTGGTCTTTATTTTCCAAGTCTTTGACGAATAGATTTACTGTTTTTGAAATAAATTCGCAGGTAACATTTTCTGCAGGAATAGTTTGTACATTCTTTAATGTTATGTAAAACTTTACAAAACTATCGGACTGATCCCAAGCTGAAAATAAATTAAAAAGAGAATATAATCACCAGTGATTTTTTTTTATATATTTGCAATTAACGTATCTCGATTAAATTATCTAGATTATCAAACAATAAATAATCGATTATTTTTTATTAATCGATTACTCGATTATTTTTGCTTTATCGACTGTTTCCGTTTATTCCATTAATCGAGAAATCGATTTTCCATTAATCGATATTATTTCATTGATTTTTAATGGGCGATTATAAAAATAAATGATTATTAATTATTTAAAATAATCAATTATTTCCGATTAATTGAAAATAATCATTATTAACATAATCGTATAGGGTAGCAAAAAAGTCTGGCAACAAGGTATTTACTTTGAAACGAATTTATGTATATTTTATGAAATTGTAGGGTAATGAGTAGGACTGTATTTGCATTTTTTAGAGGACATGTCAAATTTATGTGACGCCATCTTGATTTTTTTTAAATGGAAACGGTCGAATTATATATCGGAAAAAAGCTTCTTTTTTCATCTTTTCAAGAATACTGAAAAAGTACCGCATTACTAATGTAATACAGTCCCATTTATCACCCTTAAATACCTTGCTGTTCAACCTTTTCACTACCCAGTATGTATAGGATAAAAAAACAATAATAATGCAATACCATCCCATTCATCACCCTACAATTTCATGATTATACATTCATTCGTTTCAAAGAAAATACTTTTTTGCTACCCACTATAACATAATTTATCGTCGCTGTCAAGTCAATAACTTCTATGTGGGATTTTGTCACAAATTTATATATTACTGTACATGACATATTTTGAATTTGTTAAACCATCCTATAATATTTTAGATAATAAAATCTGTAATGTAAGGAAATGTCGGTCGGATCGGTCTCATTAAGTTTTTTCAGCCTCCTGTAAAATTTGCAAAAACACTACATAGCAGATTTTGACTTGACATTGACAAGGATTTTATTTACAACGTTAAAATTTATCTACATGTTCAGAATATTGAATAGTATTTCAACACTACCGGGATCTTCTCCTTTCGTGGTGGTCTAGAGTCCGCCCGGACTTGTCCAACCTATATCTACCCCTTATTCTGATAAAAAATGATCAAATATTACGGCCCTCACTCCTTACCATGCGATATTATTGAGGGATTATGATAGTTATGGGATCGGTAATGGGAATTTGTTAAAGGATATGTCGCGTTTGAGTTATGGTTTTTGTCCCCTGAAAAAGCTAGAAAAAACAGGGTTGTCCTTGTGTGTACAGTTGTTTGTTTAGTCTATAGTTCAGTAATACAACTCACAGGCAGATTGCTCGATACACCGTCCATCGAGGCAACAATCGCGGGTTTCGCGCTCGCTGCTCCGATGGCCAGTCTACCGTTCAGTCCGCCATCCGACTGGTTTACGTTAGTATCTAGATCTAGTCGGTGTGGGTTGTTGTTTAGTTTGTCTGGGATCGTTAAGGAGGAATGTTGTAGTATTTTTGTTATAATTATTGTATGTTTCTGTGTCTGTATATGTCTAGTTTCGAATGTAAACAGCCGTGTTTTCTACGCACGCCGTCCCAGCGATAGATGCTAAAGATGTAATCTTTTACATAATCGGGGAGACACCGCGTGTAGAAATTCTCGGCTGTTTCGAGTATATAGTCCTTGATTCGTGGAGTCTGAGTTTGTATGTGCATGTCTTCAATTCTTGCATAGCAGTCCTAGCCCAGTGCTAGCCGAAGACATCTGTTCTGTGCAATTTGCAGTTTACTAAAGTGACAATTGGCCATCGAGCAGTAAACCGGACATCCATATGTCAGGATCGGTCTTAGGATGGATTTGAAGATCAGAAGTTTGTTTTGCTCCTTCTGTTTAGAAGGGGATAGAGAGTTTTTATCGCAGCTTGGTTTTTAGCCACCCTGTCTTTGATGTGCCGATTGAAAGTCAGTCCCCTATCTAATTGAAAACCGAGATATTTTAAATGATCTCCAGTGTCCACCTGTTGCCCCTGAATGTTAAGTGGAGTACGAATAATTCCCTTAGTTCTATTTTTGTTATAAGCATACTTTCTGATTTTTGTGGATTTATTTTAATCTTGTTTTCGATTAAATAGGGAACTAACTTCCTATTTAAATGGATGTCCAGTGACCTGAGGGCGCGTTCTGCTGAATAATCACATTTGTACAGACAGATATCGTCGGCGTACAGTGCCGTTTGTACCCCATTATTACCCATTGGCATGTCATGGGTCATAATTGTGTACAAATGCGGCGAAAGTACTGAGCCCTGGGGTACTCCCGCCTGCGCGATGTATGGTCCTGTCGTTGTATCATTGATTTTTACGTTAAATTGTCTGTCCGTTATGTAAGAATGAATAGTCTTTACAATATGTACGGGAAAATCATTCACAAGCATTTTGTGGATTAACTCGCAGGTCCAGACAGAATCGAAGGCCTTTTCGCAGTCAAGAGCGACAAGTACCGTTTGTTTACTTATGTTGGTGGCCTCTTTGGCATAGTGAGCGATTCGTAATATTTGAGCAACGGTACTATGCCCCCTTCGGAACCTTCCTGCGGGATAAGTCTGAGTCTATTTAAAATAATTGAGTCTGTTATTTTTGTTATTGAATTCAGCAACGAGATGGGTCGATAGCTTTCGATGTTTTTGGGGTTTTTACCTGATTTTAAGATGGGAATAATATTTGCAATCTTCAGGCAACTGGGATAATGTTGTAACCTGAATATTGCATTTATTATATAGTTGAGTTGCACAACCCCCTTTTTTGGAAGGTTTTTAAGTAGGATGTTATTAATGCCATCCGTCCCCGGAGCTTTTCTGTTTTCGAGTCACCTGATTGCATCCCCTACCTCTTTAGGAGAGATCATGATAGAATGAGGGACGTGAACTGGGTCAGATGCGCCGATGTTATTAATTAGTTCTTCGATTTGATTTTGTTGTTCATTATTCACGTATTGGTTTGTGAAGTTACGCTGAAAATGTTCGCCGAAGGCTTGTCCCTTATCATTATCTGTAGTGTATGTATTTTGTCCTTGGTTCATTATGGGAAGTTGTGAGCTGGGTTTTTATACCTTCTTACAACCCCCCACAATGAATTGTCTCCGGGGTTCACTTCAGACAGGTTTTTTTGCCATATTTTATTTCTATGTTCATTTATTTGAGTGTTCGTACGCATGGCAATGTCCATTAGCATAACCCTGTCTTCCGCTCTCCTGTGTAACTGCCACCTTTTGCGTATTTTGTTTTTGTTGGTAATCAGTTCAGTGATGTCAGGTGGCAGTATGTCTTTGTGTAGTGATGTTGTTTTGATTTTTGTGGAGTCGTTTCTAGCTTTTTGTATGGTTTGTATTAGGTCTTTTGTGGTGTTTTCTAGCAATTCAGGGCTATTTATATTATTGTTGAGTGTTAATGTGTCGTTTATAATTTGTCTGTATTTATTCCAGTCCGTAGTTTTGAAGTCATAGTACTGTTTTTGCTGTCTGTTGATTTTTTGTGTTGTCCTTAACTCCAAGCACACTGGATCGTGGTCCGAGTTAATGGTACTTATTGTTCGTATATTTTGAATATCGGGTATGTTTTTCGTGACCGCGATGTCCAGTGTGCTAGGGGTAGTTCCATTAAATGGGGTGTGCGTCGGTTCGTCTGTATAGTGGATGATAAGGTGGTTGTCATCGGTGAACTCTTTCAGCATGTTACCTGATGGGTTCGCATGAGTACAGTTCGCGTCCCACTCGGGGTGTTTGCAGTTCAGGTCTCCTGCAAGAAAAACTGTTGCCTTTTGACATTAGGGCATGCATGTCTGCCGCAAGAATCCTTCTGCCTGGGGGGCTGTACACTCCTATAAAAACATAATTATTACATTTTAAAATGATGTGTTCAATATGGGGGGATGTGTTAGCGTTGGGTAATTGTTTGACTCGATCATATTTTCGAAGTCCATAAATAAATCTAGCACAATAATTTTGTAATTTTTTGTATGCGGTTTTGTATATAAGAATAAAATGTCCATAGACCACACCACCATATGAGAAAATAGACCAAACTAAGGACTCTGATAACATTTTTTCACCTTCCAAGACAGACTGTGCCTTATGAAAAAAAATATATCTTTTTTAAAGTCAGAAATATTTTTTTTAAAAGGTTGTTTACATGCGAGTGAAAACTGAGATCAGAGTCAAAAAGAAATACCCAGATTCTTTATGAAATCCGCTATAGGTAAAGTTAGTTGATACTTTTTTATGGAAAGACTTTGACTATGGTAATTCCGTTGTTTTTTTGTTTCCAAATAGGATTAGATGACATTTATTTTTATTGAGCTTAAGATTATGTTTAATTGACAATTTATGAATAAGATCAAGATCTTTATTTAAGGCTTGTTCAGCAACTTGATAATTATTACTATCAATATTGTAATAAAGTTGTGTGTCATCTGCATACGCTTGTATTTTACAGTTGTGAACAGATATCACTGGTATTTAAAATTAAAAGCAATGGTCCTAATATTGAGCCCTGTGGTACACCAGACTTTAGGTTTTGTAATGAAGAAAATACATTATTTAAAGTAACTTTCTGACTACGGTTAGAAAAGTATGAATTAATGAATGAAATGAATAGCATTTTCAGAAAAACTCAAATATTTTAATTTGAAACAAAGTAAATTGTGATTGATAGTATCAAATACTTTGGAATAGTCCAAAGAAACAAGTCCTGTAATTTGTCTTCTGTCTATATTTCTAACAATATCATCAGTAACTTGACAAAGTATAACAGATGTATTGTAGTGTAGCCACTCAGAAACAAGCCGGGCAATCCGGAAGAATTTTGTTTTCATCAATATAAAGGGAAATTCTATTATAGATAGTCTCTTCAAAAATCTTGGACATCGCAGTCAAAATACTAAAGGCCTTAATCAGAAAAATTTTGAGGTTGTGCAACTTTACAAACTAGTCTAATTGTTGAAATTTTCGAAAACAATGGAAAGTAGTTTTTTTGAATACAACAGTTTAGAAGGTACATATTATCAATATGCAGACTACAGTATTTTAACATGGAGATTGAAACAGCATCAGAACCCATGGCATTAGATTTGATATGTAGTTTATTACATTCGCTGATAGTTATAAAATCAAATACTAGTTTGTTTACATGCAAATTAGGTAGTGTTGAATTATTATAATATTCTAAAAGGTCATCATCTACTTCATTATTAACAAAAACAGAAGTACCTACTTATTTCTTCAGGTTTTTGCAGCAAAATAGGTATTTCTTGCTTTCTGAAGTTTATTTAGACTTCTTAGTCATAGTCAGTAGTGTGCTATGTATAGTTAACATGAATGGTTGCGATGACCTGGTCACCCAGAGCCAGAATGCTCTTAGATTCAACTATATATAGTTCTATATTCAAAAAAGTTTGGGAAATGCTAATATAGGTATATAATTGATTTTGTACAAAAATCAGCAACAAAACAATTTTTAGAACATAATAGTGTCCTCTTACATTTACTGATATTTTGGGCTGTAGAACTTCATTAGATGACCTGTTGAGTTGGACAGCCACTCAATAAAAAAAAATGTTTTTACCATTTTTGGTCAAGACTGAATCCTTAAATTGATATGTTCCCATTTCATCTTTAGAAACTAATAAGATAGTGAAAATCGATAATTTTGAGTTATTTTACTGTGATAGAAAAAAAATCAAAAATGAGATGGGTTCAAACAAGATATTTAAGGGAGATTGAGACTTTGATATGTATCATTTAAAAACATTCAAGTATCTCTTTCTAAAATTCTCACAATTTATAGTTTTTGAATTATGAAGCATGCAATTGCAATATATAAGCCTGTTATTAGAGCATACCATAATTATTAATTTTAACTTCATATCTTTTATTTTTGTTATCTCCGATAGTTGGTGTAGTGGCAGCAATATTATTAGCAGAGTCCTTTTGTGCCTTTAGTTTTTCTTCTACATTTAAAATTTCTGATATCAATTTACGTATTTCAATACTCAAAATATCTTTGCTTTTTTGTCTGGTAGCATTATTCAAGAAGCCTTCCAGTTCTGATACATCCTTCTTGAGCTATAAAATAAAACAACTTTATATCAACCTGTGAGAAAAATTACATGATATTCAGTAGTTTAAAATACGTTAGAATTAAATTACCTACGTACCTCTGCAATTTTTTCCATTTTAACACAATTTTAATATTTACAAAGATAAAACTCCACTAGTCAAACCATAAACTTGTAAAAATTATTTATAGGTTATGTTTTGATCGATCACGGATTCCATCATGGTTCATGGAACAATCTAGAATCAGGCATTTTTATGAGTCTAAACTTTTAAAAATTACGTCATTTCTATGACAAAAAATCTGATGTGTCCAACACATGACTTTCCTATCTAGTTTTTATAGGCTTTTTCCGGTTATTTTGTACAACCTATTGCAGCATCTCTATAAATGTTTAGAGGATAAACTAAATATATACATTGTCCACATACATCTACCTCGAAACATTTTTCTATAGATATTCATTGAAAACGAAAATACTGAAAAATTTAAATTTAGCACTTTTCCATTACGGTCCATTTTAGAAAAATCATGTATCAACAAAAATTATAGAGATCGATATCGCAAACAACTTTTAGTTCAACAATTTTCATAAAAATCAGAATTTTGCACATTTTGTCAAATTTCTCGGATATACGGACCATTTCAGGAAATTTTAACATAAAACAAAAATTATAGATAATAATATTATAAGTAACAATTTTCTTCTCCAAACATATAAATAACAGATATATTCCATAAAATATAAAAACGGCCTCCTATAAATTCCCCCCTAGATGTTCCGACTTTGTCCAAAATCTAATCATTTCACTTCAGGCCGAAATAAACCTTAAGTTTAAAATTTAATATTTTTTTCTTTATCCGTTTTTGAGTTTTCTTCAAAATTCTAAATTTACACATTTTCTCAAATATCTCGAATACGGTCCATTTTAGAGAAATTATGTATAGAATAAAAATTTAGAAAATTATATTACAAACAACTTTTATTTAAACAATTTTTATAAAAAAATATTTTTTTTTACATTTTGTCAAATTTCTCGAATACGGACCATTTTAGGAAAATTTTGTATAGAACAAAAATTATAGACAATTATATTAGAAGTAACTTTTATTTGAAGAATTTTCTTCTCCAAACGTAAATAACAGATATATTTCATAAAATATAAAAATGACCACCTATAAAGTACCCCCCCAGATGTTCCGACTCTGCCCAAAATCTAATCAGTTCATTAAACGCTGGAATAAAGCTTAAGTTTAAAATTTGGTGTTTTTCTGTGTATCGGTTCATGAGTTATCCTTTCCTGGTACTGATTCATTTTTTATGTCTACTTTAAACTTCTTCAGTAATACACCCTTTTCTGATTAATTCCATGGTACTCTAGCTAAAGCTGCTTCTCTCTTCGTCCTTTTAGGTTCATTTGTTTCTAAGAAAGAAAAGAGAATATATAATTACCTAAGCTAGCAATTGTATAATACCCGGCCCGTATAAATGACATCATGGAGAAGCGGGCAATTTTATTTTTGACCAAGTAATTTGTCAGTTTACAAATTATTATATACCCATTTTTGTAATATATTTTAGTAAACTACTTCGTAAAGACAATTTTTAAATCCAGCGCATAGTTTGGTCATAAATCAGGTTTTGTTGCCCACCCTTGTAAAATTAGAATAATAAATGTACGTACTAGATGTTCGTTTGTTTTTTCCAATGAATGCTTCAGATGTTAATTCCTTCTTTTCGTTCGCAGTACTGCAACCTAAAACCTCAGCACTGTTTCTTGGAAATTCTTCCACTTCTTCATCATTTTGATCAGGAGCATCCTCTTCTATGGGTGGTAAATCTTGGAAAATATTATATATGGATAGTTTATCAATAAATTTATTGGTTTTTTGTTTTAAATTCCCTGCCTTAATTTGAAAGAACCCTGTACTGTGTACTAAAAAACAGATATTCCCATACACATTTTCACCCCCTCTTCCCCTCCCTTTAAATGTAATTATTCAAAAACACTAAACACGTCAATATTTAATTACGATGAGTAGCCACAATTCCAATATTTAATTTCCTAACTTTATTAAACTAATATTCCCATACAAATTATCACCCCCTGTTTCCCTCCCTTTAAATGTAAAAATTCAAAAATCCTAAATACGACAATATTTATTTATGATGAGTAGCTAAAATTCCAATTTTAAATTTCCTACCCTTAAAAACCGATACAAATTTCACCCCGTTTCACCCCCTTAAAATGTAAAAATTCAAAAACCCTAAACACAGCAGTATTTATTTATGATGAGTAGCTACAATTCCAAGTTTCAATTTCCCACCTTTAAAAAACCGATATTCTCAAAGACATTTTCACACCCTGTTTTCCTCCCTTTAAATATGAAAATATAAAAACCCTAAACACATCAATATTTTTTATTATGAGTAGCTACAATTCCAATTTTTAAAAAACCTATATTCCTATTTAAACTTCCCCCGTGTCACCTCCTTAAAATGTAAAAATTCAAAAACCCTAAATACGTCATTATTTATTTATAATGAGTGGCTACAATTCTAATTTTAAATTTTCTACCATTAAAAACCGATACAAATTTCCCCTCGTTTCACCCCCTTAAAATGCAAAAATTCAAAAACCCTAAACGCAGCAGTATTTATTTATGATGAGTAGCTACAGTTCCAAGTTTTAATTTCCCACCTTAGAAAAACTGATATTCTCAAACACATTTTCACCCCCTGTTTTCCTCCCTTTAAATGTAAAAATCCAAAAACCCTAAACACATCAATATTTTTTTATTGTGAGTAGCTACAATTCCAATTATCAAAAAAACCTATATTCCTATTTAAACTCCCCCCGTGTCACCCCCTTAAAATGTAAAAATTCAAAAACCCTAAATACGTCGTTATTTATTTATAATGAGTGCCTAAAATTCTAATTTTAAATTTCCTACCCTTAAAAACCGATACAAATTTCACCTCGTTTCACCCCCTTAAAATGCAAAAATTCAAAAACCCTAAACACAGCAGTATTTATTTATGATGAGTAGCAACAATTCCAATTTTTAAATTCCTACCTTTAAAAAAACCGATATTCCCATATACATTTTCACCCCCTGCATGTTTCCCTCCTCTTAAATGTGAAAATCCAAAAGCCCTAAATACGTTAATAGTTATTTATGATAAGTAGCTACAATTCTAATTTAAAATTTCCTACCCGTAAAAACTGTTACAAACTTCCCCCCGTATCACCCCCTTAAACTGTAAACATTCAAAAACACTAAACACATCAATAATTATTTGTGATGAGTAGCTACGATTAACATTTTTCATATCCTACCTTCAATAAACCAATATTTCCACACACATTTGGACCCCCTGTTTCTCTCCCTTAAAATGTGTAAATTCAAAAACCCTAAACACGTTAATATTTATTTATGATGAGTGGCTACAATTCCAATTTTTTATTTCATACCTTTTAAAAACCAATATTCCCAAACAAATTTTCACCCCCTGTTTCCCTCCCTTTAAATGTAAAAATTCAAAAACCCCAAACATGTCAATAGTTATATATGATGAGTAGCTACAATTTCAATTTTTAATTTCCCACTCCTAAAAACCGATGCAACCTTTCCCCCATTTCACCCCCTTGAAATGTAAAAATTCAAAAACACTAAAATGTCAATATTTATTTATGTTGAGTAGCTACATTTACAATTTTTAATTTTCTACTCTTAAAAAACCGATATTCTCATACATATTTTCACCCCCTGTTTCTCTCCCCTTAAATGTGAAAATCTAAAAACACTAAATACGTCAATATTTATTTATGATGAGTAGCTACAATTCCAATTTTTTATTTCCTACCCTTAAAAACTGATACAAACTTCCCCCTGTGTCACCCCCTTAAACTGTAAACATTTAAAAACACTAAACACATCAGTATTTATTACAGATAACTAGCTAAAATTCCAAGTTTTAATTTCCTACCTTTAAAAACCGATATTCCCATACACAATTTTACCCCCTGTTTCCCTGCCTTTAAATGTGAAAATCAAAAACCCTGAACACATCAATAGTTTTTTATGGTAAGTAGCTACATTCCAATTTTTAAAAAACCTATATTCTTATACAAATTTTTACCCCGTTTACGCCCCTATAAATGTGAAAATCCAAAAACTTTAAACACGTCATTATTTACTTATTTACCATTCTAATTTTCAAGTTCCTATCTTTAAAAAAATCGATACTTCAAGAAACTTTCACCCCCCTTTTCCCACCCTTAAAATGTGAAAAAGATAGGTAGGTAAAATCAAATGGGTACTTACTTTTAATTGCCAGCTCTCTATTTTTTTTATCCAGACTTTTTGTCGTTTCATAAGCCGGCAAATTTAATAAACGATTGCACATTTCCCTATTTTTCACTTGTAGCATCCTTAATATTTTTTTACCTCTGGTTTCCATTTCCTAAAATACTCAGTAGTTCAGCCATGTAATGAAAACTATAAAAAAAATGCGCACTTACGAAATAATTGACAAAACAACCAGTTAAAACGTTTATTCACTGTGGCGTTCGAGACACAACTGATTGAACATCAAAACAATGAAATAGTGTAAAGTGTGTGTGACCACCCAGACAGCACACCAAATCCTTTGGATATCTACTGAACATCCCAATATCCACTGAATGTCCAGTCTATGGTGGATATCTATTTTATATCCATAAAATGTAATTTATAGACATGCAAATGTCCATAAATAATAGTAATTATATAGCAAATTATTAAAAAATTACGCCATTGTGCTCGCCATTGTGGCTAATAGTACCGTTCAGATATTTAAAATTAATTTTTTTAAGGTGTATTCAATATCCCATGGACATCCACATATATCAAAGTCTTAGCGCGGACGCAAACCATCGTGGATATCTACTAGATGTAATTTTTGATTTTGCTTCCTAAGTATAGATGGCGATACCACTTTCGTATCTACTCATGCTCAACCCGCCATAATTGAGTTGATCGAAAATAATTTCGCATTAAGACTCTATTAGAGACTAGAGTTGAGAATTTCCATTTATTGCTGAAGAGTCCTAATAAGGATTACTTTTTTCTTAGTGGGCAAACACAAAGGCAGATTGTTGGAAATATTTTCTATCTCTATTTTCTTTCGACGTTATTCAATAATCATTTGGTTACTTATGAATGTGTACTAAAGATACCTATAAAATATTTTGCTGAATATCTGAATTCTTTATCCTGGGATATAGACGGACATTTGGTTGGATATCCACAAAATATATTCTGTGGATATCTCTGGGATTTCTTGTATTGTCTGGAAGATACTAATTAGATATTTTGCTTAATATCCATAGGATATCTTCTATATTCTGGATATAGACGGACATTTGGATATCCATATTAGATCCACGGAATATTTCTGATATCCTGTGGATATATTGGATATCCACAAAAGATATTCTGTGGATATCTTTGGGATTTGGTGTGTTGTCTGGGCAGAGGGCGCCACTCCATTGATTAGCAAAGGGAGTCACAATTTGGTCTAGGGCACGCAAAATAGAGACGCAATTGTAGCGTACTACACACTGATTGAATTCCCGCCACGTCTTAAACAGTAGCGCCTTATTCTAGCAGGCAATCTGCGCACTATCCGCATAGATGAAGTATGTTCAAACCGCCACACACAAAATAGAATTGCAGCCAAGTTCTGACTAGTTTTGTTGTGACAACCGAATGTGTGTTGCCACAACAAAAACGTTCGCCGGAATTGAGTTTTATGCACACACAAGCTGCCACAATCAATACCATGCGAACACACACACACGCACGCACGCACGCACCCACCCACACACACACACACACACACACACACACACACACACACACACACACACACACACACACATCATCATCATCGCGAAAATAGTCAAAACGGATTCAGGAGACCTCAAAACGAAAAATCCGTCGAAAACTCGAGGTCGAAAAAAAATCATGATTCCTATAC